GAATCGCCGTTATAAATACAATATTACGGAGTCCGGCTCTCTGCGGTGTCCCATTGATAAGATTCGCCATTATCGATCACCGCCGGCCAAAGAGCGAGCACTCTTCGAGAGGTTTCCACGGGTTAAGGGAGCGCTCGGTGTAAGGAGGCTAGGCTATGGTGCGGGGCTGATAAGAATTGTGAAATAAGAGAATCTAGTATATGTGCGCTTACTTATACGACCACCTATAGAATGGTGTTTAATACCCAACTTTACAACAATATAAGTTGAAACTTGACAGGCGGTAATGATATAATCTTTTAAGAGTCCAAATGTCTTTAGAGAACTTGGAAAAAATTCAGATTTTCTTGTGCTATGTTAAGCCTTGCAAATATTAGATTTAATAACAAATTAATTAAATGTATTAAAATGCTGCTATTAACCAAAGCAAGCAAGATATTAAAATTACAAATAAGATAGATATTTATACTGTTAATAATATACAAAATATTATTAAAAAATTATTCAAATATTAAACTTTACTTTTAATATTAAAAAAACATTAAAATTCAGACCAGTGTCTTCAAAAGTAAGTTTAATATCTTTTACGAATATTCATAAACAGATTAAAAACAAGAAAGGAAAGCTAACTTCGGGCGGAGCCGAAGTTGATATACCCTTGCAGAATACTCTGTAAATTATATTCTCCAAAATTATTCATATGATGCATTCTTAATACTCATAAAAAATCCCAACTTCCTAACTTTAAAAACACCAAAGTTATGGCATTTCCAATCGTTCAGTTATATGGCAGCTATAGGATATAGTCGGCCGATCCTTATGAAATTTGGTAGGTCGGATTGGCTGGCCAAATATAACACCCATAGAAAATCCCAACTTCCTAACTTTACAAACACCAAGTTATGGCATTTCCGATCAATCAGTTATATGGCAGCTATGGATATAGTCGTCCCGGCCGTTCCGACTTATATACTGCGTGCAAAGGAAAGAAGGGTGTGCAAAGTTTGAATTCGATATCTTTAAACTGGAGACTAGTTCGCGTAGAAACAGACAGACGGACAGACAGACGGACAGCGGACAGCGGACAGACGGACAGACGGACATGGCTTATCAACTGAGGGGTGATCCTGATCAAGTTATTACTTTATAGGGTCGGAGATTCTCCTTCCTGCGTTGCACACTTTTGCCAAATTATATACCCTTCGGGTATAAAAAGTTGATAATAAAGGCTTGCATTTACAATATACATTTATAGGTGGTAATCTAAGCAGAGGAAAACCCAAGTTTTATACATTTATCATAAAAAGCATGGCAATAACATCATAGAGTACCCACCATTCTTTGCAACCCATATCGCTCCGACGTAGTTTTATCTATAGTCCAAACGACTTTATCAGCAGACCCAAAATGTAAATCGACATTATCATATTAAGTAAAGCAAAGCGAAGTGGGAAAGAGCAAAGAAGAGCGGATGAGGTGCCCCATATGGACTATGACTCGTCCGGGCCTCTTGGAGCCTTCAGTGTCTCTTTGGGAACTAGCAAATGCGGATGACGTCGCGAGCAATTGAGATCGTGAATAATATAAACAAAATCTAAAAGCAGATAGAACTGAAAGTGACACCAAGATAAACACCTTAGTGCAGATCTGTTTATGAACTAAAAAGGATACCCGATTCCTGATTAAGGACTAAAAGTGAATATGAAAGTGTTCATTCATAGGGACATACTGGTTAGATATTTGTGCTGGCAATTAAAAAAACTATATTATCTATTGAGATATATGTGTGTGCGTATTACGATATTGACTGGAATTTTCCGCTTGCAGGAGAGTGAGATCGCCGAGGTGCTGTACAAGCAGGATGTGGATTTGGGCTTCAGTTTGGACCAGGAGGCCATCATCAATGCCTCCTATGCCAGTGGCAATAGTGGAGCTACCAACGCCAAGTCGAAGCTTGAGGAGGAAGCCAAGTCGTCGGATCCCTCGATGGCGGACACCAGCGCCTCCAAGGACACCGATGTGAGCGCCGCCAACGAGGCAAGCAACGCCTCTCCCGACGATATTGAGAAGTTGAAGGCTTTGGAGGAGCTAAATCAAGATAAGGTAAAGTAAAGCCACCTTCTGTCCACGAATTACATACGGAATTTCACAATATTTGCATAGAGATAAAGGTGAAGTCGAATTCTTGATGTTTATCTAATAACTATCAAATGTGGGCGTCTCATTTTTGTGACAGCTATACACCCTATATCCACTCCATTTACGTGAATAATGTAATTTCCCTTTCAAAACAGGAAAAGGACATTGACAATCCCCTGGAAGACATTACCAATGAATGGAACGGAATACCCTTTACCATCGATAACGAAACTGGTGAGTTTTAGCTTTAGCTAACAAGTACATAAACGATCTTTTTCTGGTTACATGTGGTAAGAGCTATTTGGTCTGACTATATCTTATCTAGGATAATATAATTTTACTTTCAAAAATAACCTGAGATAAGCTCTACAGAAGCAGGAGATTTCTTCGTAGAAAAGAAGTTGATATATATACATATTAAATGTCACGTTTCTTCGCTAGATAAAAGTACAAATTAATTAAATCCGTTGCCTAATATATTTTAAATGTCGTTTTTTTGCACTTCCGAACTTGTAAATGATAAAGGGAATTTATAATGATATACCTATCCATAAAGCTCTTAAAATATCTTAGAATAAATTATCTTTTCTATTATAAATCTTTAAATCGAACCAAATTTTAGTGTTTTTGTATTAAGTTGGATATATATTAAACCCAAGTAACCCTCGTTTACATTAGTATTAACATTTATCAAAGCCTGTCCCCCTTTTTTCCCAAAAAAGAAAATTTGCTGATAACAAAAAGAAATAACGAAATAAGTCGAAAGAAAATGGCCTGCCAAAAGATGGCGGCTGCTCTAATATAAACGAAAATGGATTATTCTGGATATAGTGGGGGTTGAGTTTTAGGCGGTTGGGTGGCATACTAAAATATATTGTGGGCATTGGTGTGCGTGTATTTTCGAGACGTTTATAAATGAATGTAGGCATTTTGAGTTGACAGGCACGAAAATTAAAAGAAAAATGAGCTTTTTTTTCGCTTGGTTTGTGTGGCAGCAGCCCACACCACCCACCACAAAGGCCGGATCCGATGGCTGCTGCTAATCTGCCTGGGACCGCGCCCCCCTTTTCCCGTCCAAAAGCGGCTGCCTTTCAAACAAACTTTGACACGCACACGAACTTTTATTATTAACCGTGGGGGAGGAGAAGTCATGGGTTTGAGGGGGCCAAACTCGTCTGGGCCTGTGAGACTGGGTCGTGCCGCCTTTTCTGGTCGGAACGGGACCACGACCACGTCTGGGGGGCAGATACAAAACCGATTCCAAATCCGAAGCAGTGGCAGTGGCAGTAAAAGTAGCAGCCACCGCGCGTCGCGTCGCCTTGCATGCAACATTTTTCTTTTGAAAAATGAACGAAACATGATTCGCCAAAATAGCAAGAGTCATACACACGAACACACAGAAATATATAAATAATATATAGAGAAAGAAGTGCTATGTACAGCATATGGTGCGGAATCATGTATTCAGGGGGTGGTACGTACGTGCAAGGCCTCAACTTTGGCCTATAAGCTGAACATACATAGGCCGATCCAAGACCCTTTTTTTGCGAAACAACAAACAGAGACGTAGTTGGTAGAGGGGTTGCGATATAAATTGGATATTTTTCAAAGCCGAGTTTAGAAATTTTAATTTAGTAAGAAATTTAACAAGCCTAAATTTAAAAGTTCAAAAATATAAACTGTTTTTCTTGTATCTTAATGGAATAACTTATTTAACTGAGTAAAATGAGCAATTTATAAATAATCCGAGGAATCAGCTTTAAAATCAAATACATTTTAAAATATGCTTAAATTGCAAAAACAAGCCCTCTTAATAATTAAAAGGCTTAGCTTAAGAAAAGCCCATATTTAAAGAAATACCACAATGCCAAACTTAAAATTTGACATTTTTACGATGGTCTCACCAGAATGACTAATCACAAATTTTGTACTTGGTATCGATGAGGTTTTTCTTTAGGATACTTCTTAAGGATGCCAACTTGTTAAAAGTGGAAAGTTTTTTCGAAGTAATTGCTGGCCATTGAAAGAGAAATAAATCGAAAATATATTAATTAATAAACTAGGTGTAACCTTAATATATACGATTAAAAACGGAGTTAGTATTGGCGAATTGTCTGTGAATCTGGGCAATGCTTTCGATATCGTCAAGTGTTTTGAATGTAAGTGTAAGTGCCTTGTGTTTATCATATCGATTACCTATTATTCAATTATTAAATTGATTAGTTTTAGCTTAGTTTTTGGTATACTGCTATCCCCCTCTTGATGAGCCCCTGTGTTTACCCTCCTGGGCACTTTCCGCCTGATCCCTCTATTGAGCTGGCTCATTGAGCTGGGAATTGAAGGAGGATGTGGACGAGGAACGAGTAGCTTCTGTCAGGGGTTTCATCCTTCCCCTCGAGAACAGAAAGTCGCAAATCGCTGGCCACCATTTTGTGAGCCAGGGAATAAGGGATAAAATTGGATATTGGAGGAAGGGGCAATAGCACAGCAGCCACCATGTTGGATATATTTCCTATTCACGAGCATTTATGCTGCTCATAATGATTGCTTCGTTTGGCCATTTATTAAAAATCCATTGATGCGCGCCCAACTCCGATAGATAGATTCATATCGCATTCACACGCACTCGCCTTTGTCTGCGTCGTCTGGGCCCCGATCTCGGATTTGTGCGTATCCAAATTCCCCACGGATCGAACCCAACGAATCTCCCAAGTCCGCAGCCTTTGGCGGCATTATCTTCTATTGTTCGGCCTTCGAAATGAAACGACTAAACTGAAAGTCATTTTTCGGTTGCTGTTTCAGTAAATGGTATTTCATAGCTGATACTATTGAAGAGAATTTTTTGGGAAAATTCATAAATTCATCTTCCGCACGTTCAGGTGAGTTTAGTGCGTTGTTCTCCGTTTTACACAAGTTCTTCTTCATTAATTTTGACCGTCTGAAATGAAGTCGTAACCATTCGGAGACATTTTTCTGGCCATTGTCCTGTCAAGGTTGCCTTGTCATGGGGACATGTGTTCCTCATTGCCTTTCTAGGATCCGAAATCGTGGTAATTAAGTTGCAAGTAGCTCTCGTTCACTGTTTCGTCTTGCTTTTTGTCGCCTGTCCTCCAATCAACCTCGTTTGTTTCCAACTACAGTTCTGATTTTCTATATACCTATCAGTACATTATATATCTTTCAATGAATCACAAATCTGATTACATTCGTTGCTTTTCAATTCGATTTGGTTTGTTCTTTTTTCTCCCTTTTTGGTTGTTTATTTTTTTTATAGCTTCTCAGATCGTTGACAACTTTTGGAGCATGACTTGGCCAGAAGTTTTGCGTGGTATCCAAAAAAAAATGCTCTTATTCTCAATTATGTTATAGATATTTCGGTTTTAGTTTCTTTTTCGGTGGCTTAAATTCCATTATGCAATCAGTTAGGCGGCTCTTGTGCTGCCAAGCTACGCAAGTTTATTGACCACTGGTGGTTTTTATATGAAGTGGAATTTTGTGGGAACAGAAAATAAAGTTCTACTAAGAGTTTTTATGTTTCTAAAAACGGTGTGAAGATACGTTTCAAGTATTTTGAATATAGGCGAAGAAGTTGATTTGTTGATGAATCAAATTAAAGCTTTGTGAATTACAATTTCCCCCATTAAAAAAATAGTTGAAATTATTTATTGTAATTTATATTCCACTGTTCGATCTTTTAATTATAATTAGTTCTATTCTTTTCTTGTTTCTCCCTATAATTAAAACTAAAAGAGCAGTGGAACACCGAGTTATTATTTAATTTCGTGCCCATCGATTGGTTATCCTTGGTAGACATCACTAAAAAAACGATATGATGGAGGTTATTACAAAACATCTGGTGCAGTGGTGCGGAGCTGGTGGTGCTGATGCTTGTCTCTCAATTCGGTGGCGGCGGTGCACCTATTGAGGATCTCTGTTCACCTCATCTCATTCCCTTTCTATCTGTCTGGTGGCCTTCCTTGACCCGCCTTTTCCACTCCGCGCCCTGCTGTTGTCTGGAAAAGCGAGGGAGTGCTGGTGAAGAGGGGCAAGCGGAGACGGAGCGGACCGTAGAAATTGTTCAAATTCTACGTGGTCAGCATTACGCTACAAATTTACAAAAAAAAAAAAGAAAGAAAATTTACATGCTGACAAAATAACAAACAGACAGGAAAGAGGGAGGTGAAGGGGGCATAGGTGCGAGGGGCTGCAGTCCTGACCGGCTTTATTTTCGGTCTGGTCTGGTCTAGTCTGGCCTGGTCAACGATTTTATGCTGCATAATCGTATCACTTTCAAGTGTTTTCGTCTTGCGCAACCTCCCCCCCGCCCCCACCTCCTTAATCCTAAGTATTGCCAAATCTACTCTGCCTAGGAATTGCATAATATCAACAGAAATTCGCTGTTTAATTAGCCGGCGAGTGGTCAAACTACTTGACCCATTGAGTGCTCATGTGGCTTTAAGGATTATGAAAGTTTCTCAATTTCAACGCTTGTTTTTCTACTCCAATTTATTTTCCAATGTTGTGGTATTCAAATGAGGCTATTCAAATGAGCAGCCAGCGAACTCATTCATAATGTTCATTCAGCTTCTTCGGATTTTGTGGCAACTCATTAACAACAAAAAGTAGCATAAAGTACTGATAATGTTGACTGACGGTCGGCATATAACACATGCCTGTTAACAATAGTGTGCCCCCTTCTTTCCCTTAAATCTGACTTGGCTTCTTTTAGCAATTTCATTGTTGACACTATCCGAACCCGCGGATCTGTCCTGTCATAATTGTTGCTCACTGGTTTTCTGTTACAACTTTTGCTCTTCTTTCGAGGTTAGGAGGGTTATCCTTCAAAGTAGGACGGCCATTTGGATAAATTGGTGAAACAAGAATATTCCTATGGTAGTATTAAAAACCATTATTAGAATGAACATTAGAACATAAATTTTAAAAGCCTTGGTTTTCATTCACATCTTTTTGCTGTCCAATGAAATTCAAATAAAAATTTGAATGTAGTCAATTACCAAACATATTTTGAATGAAAAAACCTTATGATTGTCTTTCACCGGATACGACTCCGCATCTTTAATACCGCTCCTCCAACCTACGACTATTTTCTCAATCAGCATCGGCTTCTTCTTTATTATTATTTCTTTTTTGCGTCGGCAACAATTTAAACTAATTAAGTTGTAATAAAGCACTCAAGAAAACGCTTGAAGAAAAAACATTGAAGAAGAAAAAATGATTAACCAGGCGAGTTTTGCTTGTTCAATATTTCTGTGCTCTTTCCTACTGTTTTCTAGCAGCGTTGAAAAAAATTATACAAGCATCCAATCGAAATGCCCCCTCCTCATCTTGTTGATGATGCTGCTAATTTTTCAGAGCGAACCGAACCTCAACCAACCAATTTGATTTTTTTCCTCTATTTGCTGTATTTTTGGTACTTTTTGAAGTTCACCAAAAGCGTTTTCGGGCTCGGCGGTGTTAGCCTGGTCTATTAGTTCAGTGGCCCATTAATGTGCATATTGCCTGCTCTTTTTCCGACTCTCTTTCGGGTGATTTCATGATTGCGGTAATTGTGTTAATTTTTTGGGTAAATAGGTTCGTATTTTTATTGGGCTTCGAAGTGGAAATGGTAAGGGTACAGAAGGGTTGTGTATTTAGATGGCAGTTCGATTTGGGTCAGTTGTAAATTGCAGCCATATAATTCAGCAATCCAATGTCATCTGTAAATAAGGGCCAAGACAATATAATTTAAATTCTTAATGTTGATATGCATTTTGAAACATACACTATCTTTATTTAAAAATCATTTCAAACGAAATGATGAAGTAGTGACCTTAGTTTCTTCCCTCTAAACAGTATATCATAATTATTTTCATAACCCCTCGAATCAAGTCAACAAACCTCGTCTACTATTTTTGCTTATATTTTATAAAACCCGTTTGTACATCCATCTAAGAAATATGTGTGAGTCGGATTCGGGAGAAAGTACCTCCTCTCAATCATCACTATCCTCATTCATATCCCGCTCATCGTCTTCTTCACGATTGAGTGAATTTGTGGATGCCAAAACCGAGCTGCAGGATATTTACCAAGACATGAGTCATTTTCTTTCATCTTTTGTAACCATCCTCGAGGAGAGTATTCTTTTGGAGGATCTGCAAATGTTAAAGAAGCTCTGTAACTTTGCGAGCAAAGTGGAAGCCATTCAAAATGTGTTGTCCAGAAATCGCATGAAGGTGGCATTCTTTGGACGCACTTCGAACGGAAAGAGTGCAGTGATTAATGCCTTGCTGCATGAGAAAATCATGCCCAGTGCCATGGGTCACACCACCAGTTGTTTTTGTCAGGTGCAGGCCAATAGCACAGATGAGCCTGAGCACGTGAAGATCGAGCAGGAGGAAGAGCACCTGGAGTTGAGTGCCCTAAATGAGCTGGTCAGTGCACATTCACCAAGGGCTCTGAAGCCCAGGACTCTATTGCACGTTAACATGCCCAAGAATCGCTGCTCGCTTTTGGATTACGATGTGGTCCTGATGGACACGCCCGGAGTGGATGTCACAGCTCAATTGGATGATTGCCTGGATAGCTATTGCATGGATGCGGATGTTTTCATCCTCGTTCTCAACGCTGAGTCTACAATTTCCGGCGTGGAACGGCAATTTTTCAAGGAGGTGGCCTCCAAACTCTCGCGTCCTAATCTTTTCATACTAAATAATCGCTGGGATGTGGCCAGCAGCCAGGAACCTGAAATGGAACAGCAGGTTAAGGATCAGCATATGGAACGCTGCATGAAGCTTCTCATGGACGATTTGGGTGTCTATTCCGATGAGGAGCAAGCCAGGCAAAGGATTTACCATGTCTCAGCCTTGGAGGCTTTACAATTGCGAAACGGTTGCAATACGAATCCAACACTACAAACACAAGAGCGCTATCTGGAGTTTCAACGATTCGAAAATGATTTCTCAGCCTGTCTAGCAGAGTCGGCTTTAAAGACCAAGTTTGGTCATCACTTGCTAAGTGCTAGGGAACTGTTAACCGAGTTGGAAGCCACATTAATAACGCCTCTCATAGCCAAAGTCAACCAACTAATCAAGGAAAATGTGGAGAGGAGACAGGACTTAAATGTGGAAATAGAAGATCGACAAAGAGAAAATATTGAGGAGAGTCAAGAGTTTCAAATAGTTTCCGAAGAACTGGATGAGCTGGCACTAGATGTGGGTCGGCGGGTTTTAAGGGAGCAGATCACCAGGATAATACCTCCAGCTGTGCAATCATTCTCGCAACCATTTCATCCACAGTTACCAAGGCAAATTGGTCATTACCAGCGCTCGTTGAGTGCCCATTTGGATGTCCTACTTACAGATCAGATAATGTCACGTATATCTATACCAATTCAAGAAAAACTAAGCCAATTGGAGGTTGATCTTCTGGGTGAACCCACCGAGGACACTCTTAACTGGCAGCTCATTTACCGTTTGAATTGTCAATCGTTAATGGTTGATTTTCAGCCAGATCTAAGGTTTCGGTTTTCCTGGGGCATTGCTTCCCTTTGGCACAGTTTTCGGGAGAAGCTACCACTGCCCTTCAATCCATTACAAGATCGAAAGTTACGTAATGGTCACAAGGAAACTCCGCCTGCGGTTCCTTTAATGTACCAAAGTCATCTGCAGATGATTGCATCTTTGGTGAAATCCGATGGGTGCTTTGGAACTCTATTGCTGAGTGGCCTGGCCGTTCGTTCCGTGGGCTGGCTAACAATCTTGATCCTTGGAGGCATCGTGGGATCCGTGTACACCTACGAGTTGCTCAGTTGGACGCCAGCGGCTCAAGAGCGAAGCTTCAAGAGCCAGTACTCCAAACATTTACAGGACCAACTGCGAGGGGCAGTGCAGCAAACTGCCAGCGGTTTTGGACTGCAGATGCAAAATAAGCTGACAAATATCCAACACTTGTGGGTAACCGAAGTTGTGGAGAATAGAAATGACCTAAACTCAAGGACTTTTGAGCTGACCGAACAAATAAAATCGATGGAGGAAATGCAGCTCAAGTTGAGGAAGTTTCGGGACAAGGGAAATCTAATATCTATGCGATTGGGAGAATTTCAAGAGCTCTACTTTAACAGCAAGTCTTGAAGATTTTGAGAGGGTTACATTTAAATTGTTAATTTTCATTTGTGCAATGTTTAAATTTGTTTGGTTTTTGTTTTAGTTTCTGGAATTGTTTATTAAATTTGAGATTTTATTGTGACTCACTTATTGTTTAATTTATATAGAATATTTAAATGAAAAATTTGTTAAGATAATAATGAATATTGAAATAAGACTGTGTCTAGATATCATGTTTTAATCAAAATTGTTTCACTTGTACCTAATTACTTTTTTTTTTTGAAGAAATCCCAGGGAGTAAAATATTTCTTAGGCTTTTAAAGACTTTTTTTGAACCTCGAGAATCTTAGCCATGCAAATTCAACCAGTTTTTATTGCTGTTGACTGTTTAAATTACTTGATTAGATTGTTTTTTCTTCCTCTTGATGGCTCAAACACACACACAGGCACACTCTTGCTGAGGAACATGCACATGCTGGGAATAAGAACAAGAGAACCAGTTTTGGCTTTTTTGTGGAAGACGTTAAGACTTGAACAAAGCGTCCATGTTTAAGCGGCCAAAAGCAAAAGTACAACAACGAAATGTATACACACACAACTCAAGCTGAACTCTTAGCTCCGCCCCTCGCTCACACATACACACATAAGTCACTGGTGCGCATGAACAAAGGCAGCTAAAAACGGGGAGGAAGTTGATATGGTTGCCTCACTCGCACTCGCATTGCAAAGCCGTCTTGAGAGCGCCATTTCTCTTGCGCCTCTGCCGGCGGCGACGTCGACAGCGAATGGCGGAGCAGCGACCGCGGCAGAGGCTTGGGCAGCGTTTTAGAATCGTATTTGAACTTTTATAAACGCTCGAGAAACGTTGGACGCTTGACGCGCGCGCAGAAAATATCGAATAAGGGTAAATCTAGGGAAAATCAAACGCTACCGAGTTCGTGGGCGTGGACAAGAAAAAAGGACTCTGCTTCGGCCAAAAATTCGTTAATAACTTTGTGAGCCTGCCAAAGGTGACGTGGCATTCCAAATCGGCAGTTCAGATCGGTCGTTCTTAGCCAAGTCAAGTGTTTCGGCCCTTTTTATGCCAATTATAGATGAATTGGAAAATTCTCTACGACTAATTAAATATCATCAAACTGTGTCAAACATCAACAAAATTGTAAACTATTACGCGTCTGCATTAGTGCAAAAAAATAACAAAAAGTGAAAGTTACCAAATCAAAAAAAATACATACCAAGCTCCACACTCAGGTGGCCATTGTGCGATTCTAAAAAAAGCCCCCTACAATAACCAAAGGCATTGCAAAATAACTTAAACCCATTTTCCACACATACAATCGAATTGTACAAAGCAAAAAAAAAAATACAATATAAAGACAAGACAATAAAAGTCTGTCTGCAACGGAAACGGCAATATCGGAGTTGCGATTGATTCTGCAACATTTTGGCTGTCAAAACGTTACATAATTGTCAAAGTGTTTGGCCAAATATCAACAACAATCAGCGCTTTATTGCAACAATTTGTGTTCAATCTGTTCACAAAAGACATCTACAGCTATCTACGACAATCGACGAAAAAAATAAAAACAGCCAAGACACATTTGACTTTGGCTCTTCAGGCGTTTTGTGTTTCTTGGATTATAAACACTAATATTTCACAGATATCAACTGCGTCATCATTGCAGCATCCCTTGAACTAAAAAAGGTTCGTAACTTTTTATTGTTTAGTTCGAAGATGTGACCGACTTTTGGGCTTTAGTGGGTATTTAGTTTTATAGAACTTGGCGCCCAAGGAAGGGTCTTTTTAAGATTGGCTTATATTGATTATTTTTTTAAATAAACAACTCGACTTTAAATTCTAAACTAATTATATTATTATATATTTCGTTAAACATTGCTTATAAAGAGAACAAAATTATCAAATGTTTTTAAAGAAAAAATGCACATACTGTACTTTATACCCCGATAAGATGAGAATCAATTATTTTAACCATTGTTATATCAATCTCTTCTATAAACACAAATCTTGAAGCAAGTCAAGTCCTATTCATTTCTTCGATTAGGCATATAACCAATGTAAACATAAATAAGTGCTGTGCTTAATACCACCCCAAATTCCACCCGTTGTCACCCCTGTGAAAATATCAAGTAGCCGTCGGTGTTTAGTGTTCAATCAACCCCATTAGCGGCTCCATTACGAGACTCTCCCACAGTTTTCCTTCCTTCCTTCCGTCCGAGTAAACTTCCTGAAAGGTAACCAAAAATGGAATACCCCTACCTTTAATGCGGTCAAACAATTGTTGGCCCCATCAACGCCTCTTTTGAGCCTTGTCGCCTAATTGCTGGTGACAGTTGTCAGTTGCTCCTGACCAGCCGGACGACAAAACAAAGCCCAGCACACGAACCCAAATCGAATAATATTTTCGTTGTCGTTTCGGCCACAATGCGAGCTGGGAACCCACGAAACGAGAGACAAACAACCAGCCCAAAGACCAAAAACGATAAGTAAACAATTCCAAGCCCACACAATCGCATACCAAAATTAACAGACCACGAACTGTTACCAAAAAAAAAATTAAGCAAAGAAGGGAGAACCCTAAAATAACAAGCTATACGCCAGCATGCCGAAAAAAAAACATGGCCAGAACAGAAGAACAGAAAAGAACAGGCCCAAAATGGTTGCGATGGAAATTGGAAAAGCAGAAGGGGGATTGTGTTTTGTAACCAATCGTAAGAATAACAAAGCATTTGGTGGAATTGTGTTGGCCAGGCCCAGAGAGCCAAACTGTTCCATCTGCGGTGTTTATTCTAATTTTTTTGACCCGACTCAAGTGCCCCGGTAAAGGTCGTCGTCGTCACACCACTTGAGTCCGACTCTCTCTCACTCTCCGGCTCTTTCGACCAAGTTGCGCCCCCTTTTCAGCCTTTATTTTTTCGGGTTTTCGTTTTGGTCTTATCTAGATGTTTGCCCACGTTTGGGTCGGGGTTTTCCTCTTCGTGGAACTCGAGTCGATGTTAAGTAGTAATTTTCTGATAATGTCTTGAATCGCCCCACTCAGTTCTTGACTTGGATTTTCCCGAGAATTCCTAATGCAAATATTTGGCTGCCATCAATATTTGACGAGGAATCTAATGTCTGCGAGTCAATTGTAAGCGATACACTTGAGGGAAGCTTTTATTGTTGTGCCTCGAGTTTAGTTTGTGTTTAGTTTGGATATCTCGGAGCTGTCACAACCGATCATCAATTAAAATGGGCTGGGGATGAGGAGACCGCAGGGAGCTTCGAAAATCGTTCATTTATTGCAATATTTTTCAGCTGCTTCCGTCAGACGGCTTGAGTAAAGGAGATCTCTCAGAGATCACGTTTTTATGATTATGATTAATGACGATAACCAGCTTGACTGACTCTAGTTACTGTCCATTCTGTGATCTCTCCGTTGATCTTACGAACTCACTCTCCCACAGGAAAGTGCTACTGTTTGGGACGATCCTTGTTTACCTTCTTTTCCTGGCCCCCGGGAGATTTTTGGCCTTCAAACTGTTTTTGTAGCAGAAAATTGATCACACTCTGGGGAGTTTTGAATAAGAGTGGGGGAGACTATAAGGAGAAAGCCAGCAATCCTATTCAAATGATCAAAATATTTTTATATATTTTCAATGCTTTGATAGGGACACAAAGATTTTGACTCTGGGGAAAGTCATTTCCAAGGGGAATGCAATTGGTTTATTATAAATATTCTGGGGGATCAAAATATCTAACTTTTGTGTAAATAACGATTATACTGAAGTGAAATAATTCTTGGTAACGAAAAATGGGCACAGAGAAATGTTTATAAATAGTGTCCTTAGGGGTTTTTCTTTAAAAAGGGACAATTAAGTATTAAATGAATTAGTTTACTTAAATTGGTCTGGGGTTAATCAGATGAATCTCAGTTCAAATAGAAAAATGTAAACCAGAACTTAGATCGAATAACACACACACTTATAATCAGAATGCCTTTCTTAATACGTTATTTTTTTATCCTCCCGCTCAGGTGAATACATTCGCCTGCCCCTGGATGAGCTGTTAAACGACGTACTCCAGCTCTCAGAATTCCCGCTTGAAGACGAGGTAAGTCCAATTCCCCATTTCCTCTTTAGAAAATATCTTAAAGTTTTCCCAATCCCTTAGTTATCCGACGATCCGGTGCCCTCCACTTCGCAGGCAGCTGCTGCTTTGAACGAGAACCAAGCTCTACGGGTTGTTTCGGAGACCGGTGAGGATTTCCTCAGTGGCGAGGGAGTTCCTAACAAGCAACGTAGGATCGGAGCGGAAAACAAGGAAAACGATCGGGAGAAGGGTGACGAAAATAGCTTCTCGGTTAGCGACTTCGAGGACCTGCAAAACTCTGTGGGCTCGCCCCTGTTTGACTTAGATGAGGACGCCAAGAAGGAGTTAGACGAAATGTTGCAATCCACGGCTCCGCCCTACCACCACCCCCATCCGCACCACGGCCATCCCCATGCGCACCCCCATAGCCACCACCATGCGACGATGCACCACGCCCATGCCCACCACGCTGCCGCCGCAGCCGCCGCCCACCAGCGCGCGGTGCAGCAGGCCAACTATGGCGGTGGAGTCGGTGTGGGCGTGGGCGTGGGCAGCGGCACGGGCAGCGCCTTCCAGCGGCAGCCAGCAGCCGGCGGATTCCATCATGGCCATCACCAGGTATGTGTGCATCGATCGTAATCCTCCCCACAGACAAAAAAGGTATATTTATTTATAATTTGATGCGGATGCTCGGTTCAAGTGCTGCCATCCGTCGAGCGCTCCACATACTTACATGGGTACACATGTACATACCTTACCGGAGCGTGAGTGTAGACACAGCTGCGGTCAAAATAATAGGGTTGTTTTAAAGCAAGAACGTAAAGAATATTTTAAGGTTTTAATTTTCGGAAAAGGATCCTTTTGATTTATGATAACCATTTAAATAGCATTTAGGTTCAGATTTATTTAAATGATTAAAGTCAATTTAAAGTGACTAAAATATATAGAAAAATGTATACCATTAAAAAAAAGATTGCAATTTTCGTACAGATTTTCAAAGCTCATATTT